ATATATATATATATATATATATATATATATAATATATATATAAAGATGTAAATATATTTCGATTACCATGCATTGGATTCTATTATTGCTTTCATTACTGAAGAAGCTTTTTGAATTATTCTATATTATGCCGGTAGCGACGAAGGCGTGCACTATTTTCAATTTTTGGATCGCCCGGGGGGGGCGAAATATCATTCCTTGGTGTTGTCGGGGGGGGTGACGGTGTTGATCCAACAATATTTTGATTTCTTGCCGTCTTGTTAGTGTCATTGATTATTGAGTTGGCTGTCTTCTTACACGTTGTATTGTCTTTGCAAAACTCCCTCACACTATCATCGATACTAATCATATCCACTGCCGCCGACTGATCATCGAAAGTGGCCAATATTGTCGTTGCTGTCGCTGAAATCTCACGCGACCTGCAATTGATAAAGTTCTTAATTGTGTTCTTGGATACTCTGACAATTTATGACCAGCTTTAGCCTTACCTATTAGAAATCCGAGCTTGTGGGCGCTGAAATCTTAGATTCAACTGCGTGGGATCAGTCACGTACTTTCCTTCAGTTGACTCACGACGGCGACGCAAACCTTAATGAATGAATGCAATTTATCATTATTACATATATACGCAAAAATTATTTAAATATATCCAACTTCTTCCTCTCTTTAAGACATTTACTAACCTGGTGTCAAGTCCATAATATTTGGAGAGTTTTGCAAAACACTCGAATAAAGTTGACTTCGGGTGGGGCTATTAAGAAGATCTACGGTATTGGATTTTTCTGAATAATCATGTTGTGTGTGAGTCTGGGATGCTGCTGCCGCTGCTGCTGTCGTTGTTGTTACTCTTGTTGTTGCAACACCAGCCCAAGAGGCACACTTCGCTTGTCGCGAATTGGAGGTGAGCACAGGAATCTTGCTGGGCGTACTCAACAAAGCCAATTCACAACCATCACACTCATCATCGGCCATGTGTGAGCTAGAATTTTCAATTTGTAATTTGGATTGTGGATCCGTTTGAATCTGAGGAGCAGGATCCGCCGATGGACACATCATGCTCTCCGCTGGTGACCCATTGCCATTCAGTTTGTGTTTGTTGCTATCAGCATTCAACTTCTGAGAAATTTCACAGTTAACTGAAATCTTATCATCCAAATGTTTATCGCGCAGATCACCAGTTGCTTCCTGCTTCAAAGACTTGAGATTTTTCGTAGTGCTAGCTGCTAAAGCATCATAGTAAACAGACTCCTCCATGTGCGAGTTTTCTATTTTAAATAAAAAATACATTATATGATAATAGTGTACAGAAGAAAATGTATACAACAAATAAATCAGTTAGATTTTTCCTTTCGTATATTTATTCATACCTTTGGGAATGACGCGAATTTCAAGACGTCCACTAACACAGCCGCCGCTCCTCGAGGTCGCAGCATCTACTGAGTTTGCACCTCGGTTTCCATGCTGATAGCTGTGCATGTCGGATAATATTGGGTCTGAAGCCAGGTTGCTTCTCTGGCAAAACGTTGTCTTGACACACCAAGGAACTGCAGCGAAAGGTGCAGCTGCCGATTCTTGAAGCTCAATAGGCGCATTTGTATCCGAGTTCTTTTTCCCATCAAACATGTCTATGAGGCATACGTTGGGCAGGCTACTGCGGTGCTTGCACGGTGATTGCCTCTCATTCAAGTTCCTTGATTGTATATTAATCAAATTGGCAGCCTCCTTGTACGTTCCAATAATCATAGGAAAGTTGTTTGCCTTCGGTGCGATTTCCGACTGAGATTCACGAACGCAAACATTTCTAGTTATATCCATGCGATAAACCTATGGAATAATCAATCAAAAATTAAGAAAAGTCTTTACTTTCATGGCATTATATAATTTAATGTAAGTGGAGCTATGTTTTATTATTTTCAGTAGTTTGTCCGTGGGTATCAAATATGGAAAACTATTATATTAATATTAACTGATTTTATAGAACATAGTAAAATTTTTATTGATAGTCTTAGTTTCCTACTTCTTCTCGCAACTGAAATTTATGATCAATCAAGAAAAAGTTAAAAAATCCGGAAAACTTAATGGATCGGGACTGCGAACGGAGTTTCATCTGGCGTATAGTATAAGTTACCTACTAGTGTGACCGTCCCGACTTATATTCTTACAATTTAAATCTCTAGCTCTTTTAGATTTCGAGTCGAACCTGCCGACGCCGCCCAATTTACTCTCATATATGTACCTGTGAAAAAAAAACCTATTAAGTAAGACAGCTTTAGTCGAGACTGCTCGACTACGAGGTCCCCTGAACCCTTCAAGCAACGGATATTTTAATAATAATAATTCGCACACCCACACACACACGCACAGACACATCATACGCACGCACGCATAAACACGCATTGACTGCAGTGTAGGCTTACTACGGGAACTTAATTGTGTAATAACGTTTCTTGTAGATAGACTATTTTCATGAAACATGGATATGCATGCATTTGCAAAGCACAAGTCTGCAGTATTTGAAATAAGCATTTTACAAAAGTAAGGTTCGATAACAAAATAACAGGATGCCTTATCGAATTTTAGTGATAAGCTCGGTATCCGTGCTATATATACGGATATTTGAAAAAAGTTGAAGTCTCTAGCTCTTATATTTCTTTATATATTCTGAAATCGACTCGCTCAAACATACTGACGGACGGACAGACAGACATGGCCTAATCGACTCAGCTCGTCGCCCTGAATAAAGAAGAGAAAATATATACGCTATAAGGTCTGCCATGCCTGCTTCTGCCTGTTACACACATTTTAAGGAAACCATTATGCCCTGTTTTTCCCATTTTCAATTGGTGCAGGGTATAAAAACATTTCAGAAAGTTTTTTTGTTTTTAATAGATAAATTCAATAGACACTTGACCCAAATGCTTCAAATGTTGTACAGACATAACGCTCAATATGAAACATGCATACATATAGCTAATATACTACAATATCTACACATAAATATATTTACAGTAAGAATAAGTTGGAATTAGGCTTACAGTGTCATCGAAGGCCGCTTGTTGCACAGCAGGTGGCTCTAGATCTTTTCGTAATACATTACCCATTGCAGGCTCTGACCAGCAGTGCGGTATCGACATTTGCAAAGTCTCATAGTTCTCAATTCCAGCTATGTTAAGTGTGTATCTATATATGTACATATTGGCATTTTGGGGAGATAGAATAAAATAGAATTACATTTGCTTGTCAATCTATTTAGCAGGTGAAAGAATGTTGCAGTTATCGGTTGCTTCATATTATTGTTTAGCATAAGATCTGAATTATTCCCGACATTCATAGTTCAGTCTTCCTATCCAAAAAATTACTTTTCTGTTCAACTTAAGGCACTAATTACGTTTGGCTGTTTCATTTTAAAGTCAGAATAATACTTTTTCACCATATTCAATCTTTGTACATTTGCTCTTGGTTTCCTTATTACAAAAGCGATAAACGCAAATATATCACAAATATTGCAAAAACTATTCGATATGTAGGCGACAAAATTTTCTGATATAAATATATTTTTATGCAAATAATATGCATGTAGGCTTCACGAAGAGCAATGATCTAACGGCAATCTAACTCAAACTAATGGTTATATATTTGCTGCGAAACATGAAATGTGACTTTGGTATAAAGAGATAGCCTGAGTTCAAGAAGGGAATCGTTCAATATTAAAGGACGGTCGTCCGCTCAACTTAGTAAACTTGCTCATTTGAGCGTGGCCAATCAGGCAAACACTTACACATGGCACTGCAACATTCATACCTGTTTATCTTTAGAAGATCAATCTATGATTGAAGAATTTGATTTAGACTGTAGTAAGGAGCCTGATGTATTTGCCTAATGCCTTATTGTTTACCTGATTTTGAAATAGGGGTGGTTTTGCACTTACCTCTTAACCTTTTCATTTTCAGATGGATTTGCTTTTAAATCGCCATTACAGGTTACGACTAAGTTCGAGTTTCTGCGTATTAACGGCAAAGATACGTCCGCTTTGGCAAATTGATCCAAATTTGGCTGTGACTGCGAGGCAAAAGGTTTTGGGATACTTTACATGAGGTATATACAACAGAAACTTTGTGTAACTTGAGCGTAAAACATATATAATAATGTTGTTTTCATATGAACAAAGAACTGGAATTACGGAACTGGCGGACCTAAAAGGAGCTAAAGTGCTCTTGCCGGAATAAAATGACTATCGAGGCTGTCTCTATATATATAATTATATATATATATATATATATATATATATATATATATATTCGATTCTTTTCTTTATAAAAGTATCCTGAACGGGTTTGAGGTATATGACTTAAAGCATATAAGATTGATTATATAAATTCGGCAAAACTGTATGTATAGATATACATGCATACATACATATGTATAGTCGGGAGTGCTTGAAGCACATGAATATTGCATTATTGATTATATTGTTACCTGCGGCTCCTGTTTCCATTCGTTGTCGGTTGTATCTTCTGAGTCGTCGAATTGGCTCTTCCATTGAGAGGCAAGAGTTAGAGCTCCACCACCTTTGGTTACCTGTTGTAGTGCCGAAACATTTTCATCGTCGATTAAAGCAAATTGTGTCACCGAATGATCGCCAGCCGCTGTTGCTGTTCCAGTTCCCACAACCGTTCCCGATCCCGATACAATTGCCGCTGCTATTGCATTACTTTTCGCTGAGATAATGCCGATGGCCGCTGCACGCTGGTTGGACGAGGGCAAACCTATAGACGACGATAGACGTAGATTGGTCGAAGTGGCCGAGCGACGGTTTGTTGGCGTTATGCCAAAGATCTGTTCGCGCTGGCATATGAGGCTCTTGTTATGATTCAAACTGCCATTCGACTCTTGATTCTGAATCAGGTTCTCCTGATCATTCAGCGCTGGCGTCGGTGCAGCCAGCACGCGAAGACGACCGTAAGTTGATTTCTGTTCGACTAGATTAACGCTGTTCGGGTGTGAGCACCGTTTACTCTCGCAGCTCTTGTCAACTGCTAGATGATTGTTGCTTGAACTCTCCAGACTTTCCACTTTTGTGATCCTGCTCGATTGCTTCTGCTGCTGCTGTGGCTGCTGGTTTTGCTCTCCCACCATAGATCTGCTATAGCCGCCCTCCATACTGATAAAACGACTATTTTTATCGCAGGCATCTATGATTACTTTGTCATCAATTGTTTTCACAATGTTTGACAGTGTTTGAGCTGCCGTAGTTTTACTCTCCGGATACTGTTCAAATATTCGAAATACATATACACATCATATCTTTCTATAATCTAGTTTTTGGCACTTACATAAACTGGAGCAGAATTGTTTTGGTTGGTCGTGGCATATGAAGCGGAGACGCTCTGCGGCTGACAACGTTTCCCGTGCGAAGGCTTCAATTGCACCTCATTATTCACAATACTCACAGTAGAAGATTTTATCAGTGCACTAGGAAGATTAGGTGGAGCTATCGATGTGTTTGACACCAGCACAAGTTGTTGTTGCTCTTGCTTCTGCTGTTGTTGTTGCTGCTGCTGCTTTAATATTGTACTTGGATTTCCTAAATTTACGTTTTGCGCAACGCAATCTGCCGAGGCTTGAGTTGTCATTGTGGCATTGCAATTCTTATCAACCTGAAAGTACGTGCCATGTGTATTTGTCTATGTTCATATATAAGCTCCCAAAAGTCGATTTCTTAAAGACTGTAGTCCCTGTCGAGATACCCTTGAATTCCGCCTAAACGATCTACTAGTTAGAATTTTTTAATGGCAACAATTTAAAAGAAACAAGTAAGAACGTTACAGTCGGGCGTTACCGACTGCGGAATAGTCATTTACATCCCATTAGCAATTTAGTAGCTACGGTTCACTCTAATACTTCAGAAAATTCAATTTTTTCTACACAGCAACCAAGCTGCAAAATTTTGATGCTTCCGCTCCAAAAATGAGAAAATTACAGGGTATTTTTCGATATCACGCGTAACAATACTTTTTGGGGAATCGATAGAGGAGGTTACTAGTAACTTAACTATCCAAATTTGAAGCT